AGGTTTTACTCAGTAAGAGCCTGACACTCCCTCTCGTCCAGCTCGAGGCAGGAGAACTAAATTGATGACTTTTCCCCCTCAAAATAAAAATCGATCACTGATGGTGCCCAGTAGGGTCCGTCTTAATCTGCTTAGGGAAGAAGACATTATTTTGGTTATGTTCCTTCCTAAAAAAAGGGATTATGTCCTGCGACTGTGGTGTATCAATTTATACTTCTATACTAAATATTATAAAGAGGTAAAATTTGTAAGTTTGTATGTAGGAGGTAATCTTTGGAACCACTGGTCGGATTGCCAAAATTCTTTCACTGATAGAAAGCTACAATGTTCCTGAGTGCTATAGACTATAAAACATCTCGCTACGATTAAATGGAGCCGAGCAGCGGGTGAAACCGCGCGAGACAAGCTAGTAAATATTATAAACAGATAGTCTTGAATTGACTATACAAAAAAAAAAAACTAAATTTATTGTTTTGTAATACCGGACACTGTCTATTGGTAGGCGTAGTTTATTTGCGATAGAACATTAGTCACTGCACTGAATTCGAGACGAGTTGGCTACTCACGTCGGCGCTATATCGATGACTCATGTACAGACTGACAGGTTACATATGGAACCTTAGTTCTAATAGCATAAAGCTGAGATTCTATTACAGTATACTTTAATGTGCTGGTTATCAGTACACGTATGGTTTTTCTCTAATTATATTATTTATGAGTCGGTTTTCATGTATTCGTTTTTTGTTCTTGTTTGTTGGTTTATTTTCCTTGATGCTGTGATGGGAAATCCGAGGGCTCAACGGTCAGTCAGTGTTGTGTTATGAGTGTAACAATAAGTTTTTTTTTCTAAATTGTGTTACTAAAGTATGCATACGAATGAGTAGGTATTTAGGCAATGAATACATTCACATTATTATGGTTTAGTAACTACGAAGACGACAGTCAAACATGAGGTCTTATAAATAGTTAGCTACTGAACGGATGACACAGTAACTACTCAGCCCGTTGCTACGCAACGTGTAGCGAGTTCGATTCCCAAACGGTTAACCTTTTAAATTGTTATAAGCGCATGCTCGAAATAGTCATGGGTAGGGGGCCACCTATTGTATAAAACAATAGATGACTATGAAATTGATATTTCATGATATATTCATAGTATGAATGCATAGATAGAACACAAAATACCTATAGTCAGAATTTTAATTCGATTCCTGATTTGACATTGACCACTGTCATTTTGTGAAATAATGATACCACATATAACAGTGTAGTGATGAACACAAAAATCGATAAACAATGAGTGAATCAGTTTCAGGAAGGAATTCAAAAAATTACGGCTACCGAATGGTCTAAATGTGTATCCCATGTTTTCAAAGAAGAGGAAAAAATTAGTAAGCTGGATATCTTAATTGACAATAAATATCACAGACACAATTCATAATAAATGTTACATAAAGTAACAGCGATAGCGATAGCAATGACGGCGACAATTTATAAAATGTCTGTTTTATTTATCACGTTCCTTCATGATCACATTTTTTATTAATTTCACACACAATTACAAAAGAAAAGTCTTAGATCGTTAAATAATTGTCAAAACTAAATTATCGGTTCAGAAATATTTTATTTCCTGATAAACTTAGTTTACGAGAGTAAATTTATAAACGAGAGGAATCGATTCAGAAATATTCGATTTCCATATCGAATAATTTCGCAACGTTACTATTTATTACGTGTCATAACTTTGCAACACTGAAATAGTCAAATCTGGAATGGAATTAAAATTCCGAGTATAGTTACAATAGTCTAGACCTAACTGTAGTTGAACATCTTATTTACAATCAGCAAGACAGGAAGATGAGTACCTTTTCCGACACAGAGCCTTTTACGTCGTTTCACAACAGTAACGTTCCTTTGAACTAATTTCCTCAAAATAGTACAACACAGCGCTGTATTTAGGTTTACTGTTTCACTAAAACATGGTTTTAAACATCGGAAAGCAAACAAGAAATTAAACATGAACAAACTGTTGTATAATTTTAATAATTATCTATAAGTAAGTAGTACTTTTTTGTATCGTGGGACCTACTGGATAATTTGTATAGCATGTATCTAGAACCACTGAAAGCTTTTTTTTGTGAGGGAAACATCATTTAAATGACTTTTCCCGCCCATGGTGAGCCGAAAGGGAGTGTCAGAATTTTCATCATCATCATCATCAGCCTATAAGTGCCCACTGCTGAGCAAAGGCCTCTTCTCACACGGAGAAGGTTTGAGCATTTGCCACCACGCTTGCTCAATGCGGGTTGGCGATTTCAAACTTATAAGTCAAAATATTGAAAAATAACTGCACTTTTAGTCATCGATCTGTCGATACACTAAAGTTTCGATATTTTTTTGCATTTTTTAAAGAAATAAGTAAGCTATTTGGCTCTATGACGTCCTAATTTGGCGTTTCATAGAAAAGTATAGTTTTTGACATTTGTAGTGCAGATACTGTTTGTTTAGATAAAAGATACCTGGGGAATAATTATAGTGCTGTCGCGTCAGAATGTTTGTATAAGACAGTATCAGGGCAAGGCCACGGTACATTATTGCGCTTGACCTACAACTCCGAGTGCAGAATCTAGTGTTGAAAAGTTTCTACTATGTTTACACAAGCTAATCTTAAAAAGAAAACTTAAAAGGTCACGTGTCGATGATCGCTCCCGAAAGTCCTCTTCTTTTGTTTGCTCGTGATGTGATAAATAAATCTGTTGAAATTTCCATCGTATTTATCATTTTTCGCAATTATTTCAGTACTTAATGTTCATTTTGCGGCAAAATGTTATAAATGTGCAAGATTGAGAAGTTTTATAGACATTTGTTACTCTTGCAAAAAATACTGAACGGAAAGGTATTTTTTTTGTGAGGGGAAAATCATCAAATGACTTCTCCCGCCCATGGTCGGGCGGGAGGGAGTGTCAGACTCTTACCGACTAAAAACCCCCCTGTTTCTTCTCATGCTGTAGGCCGAGGTCGCGGTGCTTCATTGCGCTTACCCCGCAACCCCGGCGTGAACATCAGCCCTATAGGGCCCCGTCTGTTGTGGTCTATTGGATATTTGAGGCGCGCGCGAAACGCTACGCGCCTTACGCTCGGGTCAACGGAAAGGTATGACATTTGATATAGAGATAAATTATATAGGGCGTAGGGTACTTTTGTCTCTGTAACGCTGCAGACCGCTGAACGACGCGTTTGAACGATGAATACTGAGTTGGTGTACGCCAACTATTAGATGCTTTAAAAGACACAAAACCCTAAATGAACCAGAAAAGCTCATACGCGCTAATGAGCTAAGTAAACACGATAAACAATTTTGGGTATCCTTTCAGGGTCTCCTGACAACGCGACAGATTTTCGTTCTTAAATACATGAATAATTGGACCCAGTCATGCTGGTTACTATGTAAACTTGGGCTCATCATCACGCCTACGACATTGGAAATTTTCGAACCCGCCCACTTCCTTGCCTTGCACACTTCTTATGATCAAACTTTGAGGTAACAACCGGTTGTCAATTATGTTATCATTTATGCTTAGGCAAAGCTTTCTACGCCTACTGCTTTGAGTTAGTTGACTTTTCTATACATACGAATATTTTATAAATAGGTACTACTAGATACTTATAGGTAGATACTTAAATTGTTAGTAGCTATGCATAGCATTGCATGTAACACAACATATTGAAACGTCGAATTAGTTTATTTTTGACCTAGGAAACTACCCATTTACTGGACTAGATATATGAGTAAATAGGTCCTCAAAAATACTCAAACATCGTTTTCTGATACAATTATATTATTAAAACTTCACTCCTTATTCCTTTACTAAGTAATGGAAAACTTTGGAACGCGTTTAACAGCGTATTCTGGTTCACATCATTGAGTTTAACGACACGCTCAGACATTTTGTTACGGCATTACGCGAACGTTGTGTCAACTTTGACGTTAGATTTTAATTGCACTCAGTAAACAACAACTCCGTAATTTTATTATACTCCGTCTACTCGGTACTGTCGACGCCCACACACTGAACTTTATGGGTACTTCGATGTGTGGCAAGTCGAAGAACCAAGGACGGATGTTAGACCTGTTGATCATTGAATACCTACAAGCTCGTGAAAACGTGGTTGCTATTCTAAATTTGGACTTCTCTTTGTATTAAAGATTTTTTTAACATTAGTACTTTTGTAACATTCTAACATTTAAGTGTGGTAGAGCCAAGCTTCGGCACGAATGAGTGGCTCGACCGGGGTGAGCCTCACAGGAAATCGTCTTGAAATAATCACAGCATTGTCTTTCGCCGTGTGAGGGAGTGTTCCTCTCCCCCGTTCTACCCCAATTCCTAAATTTCCGGAATCCTCATCCCCATAAGCCCGGAACGCACACGTAACTTCATGGGTGGAGCCGATTGCTTACCATCAAGTAATCCGTTTGGTCGTTTATCGATCTATCACATAGAAATGGCGAGGTGTTAGATACAATGAAATAAGGACGTCAGCGGGTGCGATCGGTGCATTTAATTCTATTCCCATTGCTGTTTGTCTACAAGTACTATTATTAGTTACCGATAGATCGTTTACATCAAAGCATTCCCTTCGCACAATAGTTAATCAACTAAGAGCTTCCCGCAATCGAATGCCAGTAACTGTAAACACTACTGAAAACATTTTTACGGTTATTAGTTCTGTGAGTGATTTAATCTAACACCAATGTTAAAAATGGCTGGAAAAATCTTGCGAATTCTTCGTTTTTAGCGAAATTCTTTTATAGTTAGCATGTGGTTAGCAAAACCATAAAATTGAGATCTGGAAAGCTTCAGCTGCTGATATTTACGTGTTAGTGATTAATGGCATCATTGTTACAGTGTCTGGTGTACAAGGAACTATATAGTCAGTATAGCTGTCGAGCTGATAGACTACTTATAGGGATTTACTCGTTTTTTAACGAGCGGAGCAAGCAAAGCGTAAATTCATTATGCAGTGCCGTTTATCCCGTTTGCAGTGTAGTCGTGCCGGCGTGTCGGTAATACGCGCACACGCACTCCGCGATTCCCGTCTTTTTCGTAGTGCTTTCTGCGACACCACTGCGATATATAGTCTGTGTTTATGAGTGACAGGTGCGTTGCTATAGCAACGACTTTTGAAAGAAAAAATTTCGCGCGCAATTTATTAACCTAGGTTTTTGTTTGAAGTTTTTTTTCTGATTAGTCGATGTTTTGTGTTTTAGAATCGTCGAAAGGATGAATCTGAAGTTGAATAATGATATCAAAGGCTCGCCAGCGCCTCAGAAATCATCAGATTCGCTTGTAAAGGTAACGTTCATAAGAAAATACTTTTTAAAAGCAGTTTGTGTTACTAAATAACAGAGGTATGTTTAACTGTGGCCACGTTGTGTTATACAACTATAAGATAGCTCCGCTTTGTTATCGTATAAGTTTCACTAAGAATTTGCTTGTCACTGCGTTCTGTAACAAAGTTTTAGGTACTTCGGTACTTGCGTCTGCCATTGTTCACATTACTTGGAGTTCATTCGCACTTTGCAAGAAGATAATTTTGCTTTTTATACATAAGTATTAAGCAAATTTTAACTTATTACTTTACATGCCTAAATAATATATATATTTTTACAAAATGTTTAATAGTATACACTAATTTATAACTGATTATTTTACGATGAAATAACCCAATTATTTCTTTAACAATAGATAAAACTCTTAATAGTCTCAAATACATGTGAGACAAGTGTTAGTTAGAATCTTAAAAAAATAATGAAAGAAAAACACAGTTCATTCAAAAAACTCATTCACAGAGGTATCGTTAAATATTTACTAGATCTGTGTCTATTAATGCGTCGGCTACGGACATAAAGTTGCTAAAATGAACAGGTTTAAAGATACAAAAAAAAACTTCTGTACATTGTAAAAAACTAATTAGGTCCATCTATTGGGTGGATTTTGTATACAATCAATCTGCGTTATTAAGAACCGATGTAACTATGTTCAGATCTATATATTTTGAAAAAGTTACTATATTTTTATCTATAATAATATTATAAAGAGGTAAAATTTGTAAGTTTGTATGTAGGGGATAATCTTTAGAACCGCTGGTTGGATTTCCAAAATTATTTCAGTAATAGATAGCTATAATATTACTGAGTGCTATAGGCTATAAAACATCACGCTGCGATTAAATGGAGCCGAGCAGCGGGTGAAACTAGCTAGTATTCTAGATAATTAATGTTAAATATTCGCTTCGTATAAGCTGAAAGAGGTCTACATGCCCAGGTTCTGATCAATTAGTTGATTGTTATTTCGAAGTGTGAACAGTGTTAAATGTATAGAAATGGAATTTGTATCGGAAATGTAAGGTATGCTTTTGAAATATCTTTTAATATCAGCTTACCTACCTACTTAGTTTCTCTCCTTTTTGCTCAAGAACAAGTCCGAAGAAATTCTGAATCATAAATTTCTTCGGTTGCATTTGTTTATAGAGAAAATTTGATTTTGGAAGGTGATTGATTTAGTGAAGACATATTAACACCCGGTTTCCGAAAGGCCCATTAACTACTAGCGCCATTCGCACGGGGCTCCAACTATCTCGCTAATGACGAAAGGGTCCCAATAACCCAGATATCTACTCATCTAAAACTTTCTGACAGTCACAAAGACAACGAAAAAAGCAAGCACAGCAAAATTGGTCCAGGCTTTGTTGAGTGCGCTTACCTACACATTATGCGATTATTTTTAATATTTTTGTATATACTCTTACATGTATACCTAGATTTATGAATTCGTTTCTATATATTCTTATTTTAAAAACTTAAATCATAGTAAAGTTTAGATACTTAGTTATATGTATACTTGAATCGTAAATCGTAGTCACCAATTCCATTCAAGCTCAAGAAAATGAAGAATGAAGATGGTACTAGTATATTATGTGCCTTTAAAAAATATTTGATAGTCGAGCTATGTCCATAAAGTCATCTTGTTTTCCTAAATCAAAACTTCAAAGGCTTTAATCACAGTACTACATACCTATATACCTAAGTATTGTCATATAAAGCCAGTGAATGTATTTCTGATTTTCCAAGTAAATTCAAATGAAAGAAAACCTTTGATCGTTTCTCATTATACTTTTGAGTTAGTTGAGCGGAACAATTTACTTTGATGACTCAACGTGGGTTTATCCTTACATTTTTACAATTTAGGATAATATCACAATAAATTTGAAGCCTTTGAACTTCATCGAGGTTTTCGTAAATGATCGAAATTATTCGGGAAATCCTAAATAGCTCGTTCCAACGAAACCTTTAACAACCTATAAAGTTTTCTTGTTAAAAGTCTCTTATTCTTGTGTTTAAGTTTGGAGAGAAGAACCACGTCGCTAATAGATAAAACATATTTCAATTTAGCGAACATTATTTATTGGACGGAGCGCTTAAACTCACACATACATATGTAAACGAAAAAATAATGATATACAAAGGTAACTCTCGCCCACAACTGACTATTATTTCAATGCAAATCTATAAATTTTGACAGATTTCAAATAGGCGCTATTTTATGAAAGATCCGAAAATAAAAATACAATTTGCTTTTACGTCACAATACACAGTTTATGCAGATCACACAAAGTGTTGTTACACGCCGGAATGAATCCCGCAATACGTTGCACAGCAGCCAGTGGCCCAATCGTTCCCCTACCCCAATCCGTTCCGTTTCCCAAAAACGCCAAATCCCTAATCCCTAAAAGTCGACAACGCACTTGTAACTCCTCCATCGTTGCGGGTGTCCATGGCTGATACTGATTGCTTACTATCAATACCTGTGCTCGTTTGCCGACCTATAACATAAAAAAGTGTGCAGTTAAAATCATAAAATGATGAGAGTTTGTAAGAAACTCCGAAAAGCTATGGTTTAAGTTAGTAGGTGATAAAATGGACGAGTTTCCGTAAGTCTGACACTATCCTTTTGGCCCTTTGGGGCTAAGTTAAGCCGTCTGTCCGTGTCTCTTACACGGTATATTTGGCCGCAGGGAACTTTCAAAACCCAACCGAAACTATCACAGCTTTGTGGTCACAGTATCACGAAATGCCTTGTTATTCTAATAATGACGACGTAATTTTATATTCTCTATTACAAGAGGGGTCGCCTACAAATAACCTATTGTTGGCAAATATGATAAATAGATAGACGGCCGTGATTAAAAATAGTTCAATGAAATTATTTCACACTTAATTTTAATCTATTAAGGTTGCAATTGACGTCGTTTGTATATTTTTGTGTCATGGCAATGTTTACTAGGTAATGAAGCCATCTTTAACAGAATTAGAAAGGGTACCTAATGAGTCTTCTAAATTTTCATTCACGCTTAGTTTAGATTGTATTTCAGGCAATAAATTAATAATTTGTGTGTCTTTTTAATAAAGTACTAGATTTTACTACTATCCCCTTGATTTGTCTAGCTACGTATCTACACACACTACTCAACCCTACCTATTCTAACTTATGTTCTTCTTCTGGTTCTAAACTACATCCCCAAAAATTCTCAACGAAATCGGTTCAGCCGTTCTTGAGTTAGAAGTGGTTTTGCTAACAAGACTTTCTTTTTCATAAGTACCTATAGATTTTAGTTAACCAGTAGACTAGAAGGTTTATAACTACGTAAGTGTGTAGAGTGTGTAAACTTATCTCTATTAATGGTATTTCTTTTAGTAATCCTAACAGTGTGGTGTTACAATTTACATCATTTTCTTAATGTTGGCGATATTTTCAGACATGATGAATCGATTACGATTCCTCTAGCATCGATCGACTTTGGCAAGAAAAGGAGGCAAATTATATGTAAATATATCGCCTTGCTCTTCTTTTACAGGATGAGAAGAAAGCCAAGCGGTCTCAACGGGAGGTACGTTAGTACATGCTAACATACATTGTGCTAACTTTTTTAAATACATTTGTACCTCACGCTTGTAACAATTTCATTGAACTGTGGTCTATACGGAGCCAGTTCCAAATTCATAACCACGTCTGACAGTTTTCATAGTTTTGTGAAGATTTTTTTTTTTGGATAAGTTCATGTTCAAAGCCATTGAATTTTCGCGTTTCATATTTACAACATATAAATATGAAACGCGAAAACTCGCGTTAATTCGGGTATCAACGCGAAAAAGAATTATTTATATATAAATGTTTTTCGCGTTAATACCCGCGTAATTATAATTATCTTGCAAGATCCAAGGATTACTGGGTATGACAAAAAATCATCAGACATATTTTTTTAAAATTTACTGTTTTATCGTCTTCCATTTGTATTTAAATTTTCTTTTTCTTCATCATAGGTACAATTGTTCCTTTTAATAATACGTTTTGATTAATAAAGATCCTCATGTCATATTTATTACATTCGCCTTATCCACACATATCTACCTACTGTTACAAAAGTGGGCTACACTAATAAAGTCATATTTTTATTGTTTGGTTTTCAACTAATAACTGAGTGATTTGATCTAAGTGTGATTACTGAAAACATTCCTCTACTACTTTTTCATTTCAGACAAATTTAATAATGTTAGGTCGTGTTAATAGAGGGCGGGGTAATCGCTATAATTAGTCCTTGATTTCGAAGACAAAATTTGAACCTAATATTAAAACAGACAGATTTATTGTTATTGTGGTCCACAATCTGTCATTAGCAGATAATTTTATAGACGGTAATAACAAATACGAAGTTACTTAATCAGCGTTACATAAATAGATATTGTTATTGAATGGAGGTTATATCGGGAACGAGAACTGAATGGAATAATACATCGCTATGATTGTATTAGGTGATATCATTTTGTATTACGACCAAAGAAGAGGAGGAAAAGAGGTTTTTATTTAATAGTTTTTCATTAGGAATATTTGTATTTGTTCATTAATATGTATTGAGACCTATACGTGTAATATTTATAATATATGTTGATCCCACACTCCAACCATTGCAACGGTTTTATGGGGCTTAGTTTATAATATAATAACTTTTGTGTTGTAAAGATAAATAAAAAAAATAGTAAAATTGACATGATCTAGACATTTTTCAAGCCCTTTGGAATATCACTGTTTTTAAAGTTTCATGTTTATGAGCGAGTATAGCTGTCCGATCTTTGTCGACAGTATTATTATTATAATAAGTCTTTATTTCCAAAATTAAGAAATAGATGTCTATTTCAATCAAAATTCATGTCAAATTTAAGAAATGTCATGTCAAATTTTAGATGAAAATTAAGAAATAGATGTCAACTTAAAATCAGTTTTCGGTTTGTAGTCGACTTTTACAGCTTAAAAGAAGAGTATTCTTGATTCTACTAGGTACATCAGGCCCATGTGGAATTTATAATACCTACTTAGAGAATTCGGGAAACCGCCGCCGCCGGCGCCATTTGACACAAACAAAATCACATGCAAAATGAATGTCTCTATAAACGTCAGTTAGCTATTAAAAGTCTTTCTTTCGATCAGAACGAGATAATAAGACAAACATTATTTGTTTGATCTTGCATTACGTGGCCTCGTGAAAAAAGACCACGTAAAATCTTTGATTTAAACTTTATTTTGTTAGTTATAAGGGTGGTTTTCGTGTTATTTGACGTTTGCTATCTCAAGCTGTTGGTGATTGAATCAGGGTTCCTGATTGATAGTTGATGCGGTTCAGAGACGCGGCCCACAGGTGGCCAGGGACGGTCGGAATCTAATCACGGCCCTAACATTGTTACTGGTTATATCGGCCGCGAGTTTCGATTATGTGGATTTTCTAAATATAGATGACAGCTTATTGGCGGGAGAAATATTCCCATGTTTTTCACCAAAACAATTGGTCATATCAAACAATGGACATATTACAGAGGTTCTTAAATTTTAAAGAATATAAAGATATAATTTCCATACAATCTGAAAAAAATATTTGTCATACAATTTTCTACCTCAATGGCAGAAGGTAAGTATTGAAGAAAAAGTAAAATTGAAAACTTAATTACACCTGACACATGAAAAAAATAATAATGTTAATGTAGTTGATCTGCGAATCAAACTCGAGCACCGAAAATAAACTACTAATTATTAATGAGAAGCTACAGTAGCCATTTAGACACAGTAATGAAAAAAGAGGTTTGTTATACATACAATTTTAACATTATTTACAGTAATAAACTTTCAAGGAATTATATTTGTAGAGTTTATAGCCAACAGACGGATTCAGCTTTCGCAAGCATTTAAGCATGCAAATTGTTTGACCACAAAGAGATTTGTTTTTATAGTTATTGTAAATATAAATTAGTTATATTTATTTAGAAAGAGAAACATTTTATGTCCCAGACGTTAAACATGAGACTAGTTTTATTGCTTTTGTAAATGATTAACAACGCTCATGATTTTACAAGGTAGCTATTTGGGTACTTAGATTGAATTTCCTCATTCTTATGGTAGTTTGTTACGGCTTTTTTTAGGGGGAATATAACCATATTATTTCTCTTATCCTAGGTGGGCGGAGAGGGATTGCCAGACTCTGACTGATTAAAAACCTAATCCGTTCTTTCTCCTGCTCCATGCTAGGGCCGCAACACATTATTGCGCTTGACGTGCAACCCCGGCTGAACATCAGCCCATTTGATTCCTGTGGTAGTCTTTTGGTTCTTTGAGCTGCTCGCAGAAGCTATGCGCCGTACGCTCGAGCCTATTTTTCGAGCTATCCTTGCTCGCCATCAGCAGATTACGGACCGGTCTTCGCGCGATCTCCACCAACCGGAGAGTCTCCTACTGTGGTAGCTAGGGCGTGAGAAAGATAGTTCTCTCACGAGCCTTCTTCTTCTTCTTCGTCTTCGCGAGCGATAACTGCTTCGCAGACAGGGGAGACGGCTTCCCAGTTTCTCTCACTCCACACCATGGCCTCTACTATGGTCAGTCACATCGCCACCATTTTCTCAACCGTGTCTTCTGTGTGGTCCACCAATCCGGGGATTTTCTTCCACACCTGGAACAGGTTGCTCCCAAAATTCCGTACGGATCCAGAACATCTATGGCTTAGTGTGGCTTGTTCCAGTTTTTTTTTGCGTCAAAATTCGTTTCTATTATTTTAGAGCATTTAGGCCTTATGAACTTCAGAAACCTTGAATTATCCTCACAGATACTTTTAACCTTCAAAGTTCAACCTTCAGTATTAAAAACAATAATAGACTGTTGTTGATGAATACTAAATCCATTCGGCTATTTTTAATTTCTCAGATCTGTTGTCTTTGATCAAGAGTCCAAGAACGATATCGTTTACTGGTAATTTAAAAGCATTTTTTTATTTCTGACGTCATAAGGGACTGTAAATAACATCCGGATGTACCTACTCAGTTACAGCAAGCAGGGTTGAACTGTTAAATTCGTGTAATTCGTGTCTAACTTTAACTTAAAGGTATCCTCTTTCAATGAAGGCTACGCGCCATACGCTCCTGTCTGTCATATTTGGGTGACTAGTAGCTATCCTTGCTCGTCGGCCGTAGACCCGCGCTCCGCCGATCACTTCCCTGCATATGGCAATGCTCAGCACAAACACGGCGCAACGTAAACGTATGCTCAAATTGAATGATCCTAATAATAAATTGTTCAATAATCCTAAGACTATTAATATGCCAAGTCTCAGTTACCAAAGTATAGTATATAATAGTTTTTAAACATCCTTTGATATTGCAACCGTGTCACCCAGTCTAGACAATACAACTGGGTTATGGACCACCGGGGTTTAGGGTCAAGCGCAATAAGGTACCGCGGTCTCAGCCTATAGCCGTTTTGTTATAGCAGGAGAAGGAACGGGGTCGTTTTTATTCAGTAAGACTCTGACACTCCCTTTCACCTCACCCTGGGCGAAAAAAGTCATTTGATGATTTTTCAACCCCAAAAAAAGTTATAGACAAGATCCCAGTTGTTCTATTTGGTTCACCTTTCCTTTGATCATTCATTTCCAGGACCCCCTAACCCAATCCGCCCCTGCTAAAATCGCAAAGTATATCACCCCTTGTATAAAATTCTTGACAGTTTATTTTCCGACATTTTATAAAAGAATCGGTCGTGCACGTAAATAAGCGGGAAAAGTTTTAACATTTCAACAAGACGATATAAAGTTTTTGATTCGTATGTACTTACTATGAAGTTCTCGTGCTTTATATTGTGGTGAAGATAATATTTTATTTGAGCACATAAGTTCTTAGAGCATCTATGTGAAAAAACATGTAGCAAATTTTGTTTTTGGCAGCACGCACGAATCGATTCGCTTCCACTTTTTATGAAGACTGCTAAGAAGGAGATTTTTTTGCTGGAGTCTGTGTACCCCAAAAGATATAATCTGGGTGTCTTGAAGGCCTGTGTGAATAGGTTGCTTATGGGGAGGGGTATTTCATTGTAGATTGCATCATTGCTTACTACTGGGCTTCATACGTCATAGCGGCCAAATTACGAAATAAAAAAGGTTACAAAGAGGCGAGTTTGTATATTTAACACATGTTTCTACTGATGATTTTGTTTAAATTTAGATTGAGCTAGGTCTATGTGATTGCAATTGGTAAAGGAATATATATCTCTGACTAGGAAATTCAAGCAGCGTGTCAATATAGGCCGCCAATCATCGTTAACGTTACAGCGGTTACCGGTAACCGGTGACAATTACAGGCTCGAGGACATTTCAAATTTAGATAGAAGCCACATTCGTTACCTAACTCGTGCATTCGCTTTACTGCATTTTGGATCTAGCCCCATAAAATATAAGTCCCAATTTACCGTAGTTTATTCATCGTTTTGTGGATACAATGGCTATTCTGCTGTTGCGACTCATCGGGAGTATAATGTGGGTGAATTCTTACGATAGTAATGTGTCTCTTTGGTGTAATAACCGATGTCTTATTGTCGGTGACAGTTTTGCTAGTATAAGGCACTTGGTAAGTTTATATGGTCGCACTACGCTTACATTTATACTTTTGAAGTCATGATAATATGTAGGCATTCACGCCTTGAGGACTGTGCCTTCAAATGGCTCCATGACATTATCTTACAACAGGACGAATTCCCTTTTTTAAAAACATGGTCAAAAGTCTTCTACCTTCTTAGATAGGGCGAGAGGTAGTGACTTATTAATACTGACCAAAAACCACCGCGTTTCTTCGACTACTTCGAACCGGCGCGGCGGTAGATCATTTCGTTTGCACCTAGAACTCCGGCTGAACATCGGCCCTAGATATAATCTATGGTGATCTGATAGCTCTTTGAGGCACGCTCAAAGGACGACTTACTTCCAACACCAACACCATAATACCTAGGTACTAAAAGAGTGCAATAAATAAAACCTTACTCACTCTGTGAAAGTCTTATAATTACTTAAACTCGTTTAGCTGTATGTGTAGTAAAATCTAGCTTCCAGCCGCGGCTTCGCCCGAGTGGTATGTTGGTAAAAAGTAGCTTATGTCGTATTCCGGAGTGTATCCTATGCCTGTGCCAACTTTCATTCAGATCTGTCCAGTCGTTTTGGCGTAATTGAGTAACAAACATTCAAACACCCAAACATCGTAACTTTCGCATTTATAGTATTAGTAAAGAAGTAAGATGTTGACCGAACAAATAACAGGTTGACACATGTTAGTCGTATTACAGCACATTTTATTTATTTTTTAGTTGTCAGACATTGGCTGAGGTTTGTAGTGTCGCGCCATATTGCAAGAGACAACGGACCGGACGTATATCATTTTGTTGCCTCCCGGGAACAAGATAAAAAGGTTGAATCAAATATTTCGAATACAATTTTAGATATAGAACTTGGATTTTTGAGAATACATACGAAGGTTGATAATCTTTATACGAATGCTTAGTTTCGAACTTTGTAGTGCTGTCTTTATCTTAAAGGTAGTAAAGATTTAATTTAATAACACGAAGCGATTTCTAATCTTTGCAATGACAACCAAAAACAATATTACTTCTTAGAATCTTACTAATCTTACACCCGGTTTCTGAAAGGCTTGTCAACGCTAAAATTAACTAATCTCTTGTCAAGTCATCTGATTGGTTGTTGATAATTCAGTCGACCAATCAGATGACTTGACAAGAGATTAAATTGATTTAAAAATTGATCGGCCTTTCGGAAACCGGGTGTTAGTATCTTACATCAAAACTTATGATGTTTGGATGTTTTCTACTCAACCACACAAAACGGCTGGACGGATCTGGACGAAATTTGGCACAGGCATAGTACACACTCCGGCACCGGACGGAGTTATCACATAAAATCTTTAATAATCCAAAGAATATCCTCATGCCGCGTCTGCCTGTTAAGTAGACCAAGAAGTCATAAGGGTGACTGCAAAACGAGGGGCTTCAGTTTAGTTTTCTGAATCGGACCTAGTATAACATTGGTTTAATTTCTCTGTAAAGAGAACGGAGTATCGTTTCACATGAAACAACTCGTTGAGACTGGGTATTATGGTGCATTCAAGTGAAAAAACAAATGATGCTCACACCATAACAGGGCACCTCCACCTACTGCGTCGGAGTTAAAATATTATATACAGTAAATCAAACAACATACGGCACATTTTACAGGAAGAGCGGCGGCGAACAGGCCGGTACATGGCGATTCTGGTGGGGATATCCCTCTTCATTTTGGCGCTGTACCACGCTTGGGTGCGTCGCATCCCCATAGTGGCCAGCCTTGTGGTACCAGCTCTCATCATGTTCGTGTACGTCGCCTGGATCCTCTACACAGCCTCCAGGGAAAAACACAGGGTAATTTTAATTATTTCTCGTTAATTAATTTAAACTAAATAGTGTTGTGTTACGGTCATCCAAGGTTGTACTGCGTTGTAGATTTTTTTGTTAATTGCTAGAAGTAATTATTTTGAAATTGAGTAACAAAAAGATGTGATTAAAATGAAGTTTCTTTTTTATAAGGTAGGGTGGTCAATGTGTGAACGCCTTTCACCTGATGGTAAGCAATCGGTGCTGCCTATAGACACCCGTTACACGAGAGCTACGGTTGCGTTGAAGGCCTTTAAGGAATTATGAATTAGAGATTAGTTGGAAGAATGTAAAGGAATTTGAGGTTTGGGGATTTGGATGGTCTACTCATTATTATATCAGTATTAAAACCACAGAATGACATTATTTTAATACTAAGTAGTTATTGCACACGTAAGTAATGTACCAGTATTTTTAAGCTCAATATGATCATTACACAATTCAAACCTGAAACTAATGGAATGGAAATTATCTTAAAACAAAAAAAAAGTCGAGAGAAGGATAAAGAAGTTCATTATCACATTCCAGAGAAACAACCTTTCAGTGAATGTTTGTAAAACTGTCAGTATTAATGTGTTAATAATGGAATGTACCGTAAAATTGAGAATGAACGCTGATGTGCGAGAGAAACAATGTATCGTTAGACTTGTACTCGTTGTTTGGTAGTCTTTACGGGCTCCGTAAACAATAAACATCAATGTACATGAGTTTAAAGAAACAACATTCAGTCGTTGGAACGTATAAAAACAAATTGTATTAAGCTTTTTTAATTACAACTATATTTTTACACTCGTACTACCAATATTTTTAGTAAAAATATTGAGTTTCTACTGTTTTTTTATGAAGAGAGCACATATGAATGACATTGGTATATGTGTGTCTGTTTTTTATGTGGTTGAGGGGCAAACGAGTAGTCAGATTATTATATCAGCCACTAGCTACTCTCGCGCGGTTTTACCCGCTGCTCAGATCCTACAGATCGTAGCGTGATGTTTTATAGCCTATAGCACTCACTCAATATTGTAGCTATCTATCAGTGAAAGAATTTTGGAAATCCGACCAGCGGTTCCAAAAATTACCCCTTCCATACAAATTTAGAAACATACAAATTTTACCTCTTTATAATATTAGTATAGATAAGAAATCACCAGCGCCCATGGACACCAGATAAGGTAAAAGTGCGTTGGGGTTTATGGTTTTTAGGATTAAGGGATTTTCCCCTGACAAAAAAAAATCACTCCTGTCGAGCCGAAACATGGCTCCTCTACACTTGCATGGTTCTCCTACATATGTATTTTTTTTACTAACTGTTACCGACTTATTCGAGACAACATATTTCATGTCTTAGTTGAGCCCACGCTTATAGCATGTAATAATATATAAATCTAAGCATCCTGTCACATTGGGACTAATGATTATTACCTTACTTTGTCTAATAATGTACTTCAATAAAGTTTTAAAGATACAAAGTCCGAAATGGAATGATAAAAAATTTATTCATAGGAAAATTATCACGAAATTGAAATAGAGAAAAGAATCTTTTGAATATCAATGAACGAATGAGTTCAGAGCGCTGCGCTTATTTCCTGCTAAAATAATAATCTGCGGGTGCAATATTGCAGACGACTGCAGCCGACGGATGCGGTGGCATCTGATATTTTACACAAAGTGACTTCGATGTCACCGCAAGCCAATTAGAGGGACAAATTCTGTTACTAAGTCTCACCGGTTATCAAAATTCCTGAGCAAACAGGCCTTTACCTACAGCATAAAATGTGTTTTTATAATAACTATCGTGAGACATACTAAATTAACTAAAAATCGCGGGTTACTCACGTGTGTATATTGAGAAAAGCTCTACTAGTTTCGAACCACAGAGGGGTTCTTCCTCATGAGCAGCGTGCGCGGACGCGGCGACGTCGCGCAGCCTACTGACCAGGCCACCTACTACCAGAGCTTTTCTCAATATACACACGTGAGTAACCCGCGATTTTTAGTTAATTTAGCATAAAATGTGTTTAAAGCTTAGAGGCAATCTGGAGCATATGTGTGCGTTGAGGTATAATTTCGAAAAGGTTGTTTTTTCCTTTGAAATATCCCTTGCTCAGTAACCACGCTTGCGAGCACTAAACTAACAAAGTACCTAATTATAGGGATATTACACATACCTACCTACATACATAGTTGCAGAACATGTTTCTTACAGTTTTTCCTTAGAGAAAGTCGGACGTTTTAATGGTTTGACTGCACATAGTATTCTCGTGGTTGTATAAACCCGACATGTTTACGAAACTGGGAAATATTTTAGCTGGGTACGGGTCACTATGCGGCACATTACTCAACATGTTTGGAAACAGACATGACGCAACGTATCCCCAGTGAATGCAAACATTTTGTCAAACGACAACTTCAATGCTACAGTATTATATATATTATGATTCATCATTTTAAGAGTCCTTTTTGTCTGTTACCGACGAAGTTTTAATGTCTTTTTTGCAACCGAATTCGTCATAAAGTTCTGAGTACCGGCTGCGATGTTATGAGTTTTGCAGTTATTGTATTTTTTGGAAAGCTATTAATTTGGGCGGGTAGACACTTTAACGACAATGGAGGGCTCGTGGCGAATGGATATGATTGACTATGAAGTTTCGTTATAGAGATATCATTATTTATATTTTTATGACTGAGGACTTTTGTTTTAATGCGCAGTTTCCGCAAGAATTTTATGTTCATTTAAGCTATTTTAAATGGTTTAGAAGCTGTCGTAAACATACGTATCTTCAAACAAAACATTACCTACGTACTAGAGGGCAAGGTAACGCTGTATCTCCGGTACGCGGCAGTAAACGTTATCTGAATCACCAGCGAACCTGCGTTTATGCAAACGCAAACATCTGCGTTAACGTTAGAATTTAGCTGATGAGTTTCGTATAATGTAGATAACAAATAAATTACGTGATAATCATTACAAATGACGCATTCCTAAATCGTTTAACATCACGCATACTCCTTCTTATAAGGAAAAAAGAAATAAAGAAAAACCATTTATTTCCGCAAAAGCAACAAAACAAACAAGTAAAAGTAACGACACAAACATATAAACATTTAAATACGCTGCAGTTGCGTCACCATGCGAGAAAGGGACAGCGCTCAGCATAAATGCTGTGCTTCGCGCACGCAGGCACGAGACAACAGCGCTGGTTTTCAGCGCTGACCCGCATATCCTTGCCTCGGAAATTTAATAAGTTCCGAGACAATCCTGGACATGTTTAACGCTGTTTAAGGCAGGCAACGCGCTTCTGACTCCTCTGGTGTCCATGGGCTGCGATAATCGCTTACCATTAGTTGATCCGTCTGTTCGTTTGCCTCCTCCTACATAAAAAAGTAAGCAGGTACTAGCTTCACTTTTCATTTACTCACAGAAGTTTCCGCTATTATGTTTGAATTTAGACTCGTTATGTGTTCAAGAAAAACTTGTAAATTCTAAGTGATTGATTCCGTTCCAGAAGTTTTACGTCATCCTCTTGCACTTTGTTTGTAGTTTATAATTTAAATTAGAACCGATTTTTATCCAAGCACGTCATCTATACGAATATTATAAAGAGGTAAAATTTGTAAGTTTGTATGTAGGGTGTAATCTTTGGAACCACTGGTCGGATTCCCAAAATTTTTTCCCTTATTGATAGCTACAATGTTCCCGAGTGCTATATGCTATAAACAATCACGCTACAATCAAATGGAACCGAGCAGCGGGTGTAACCACGCGAGATTAGCTAGTATTTTATAATTTAAATGAGAACCAATTTTTATCCAAGCTCGTCATGTTTTATATTAAGGTTGGTACGTACTCAGGGTAATAACTTAAGAGAGTAGATGAAACAACTGTTCGATCAACTTCTTCATAAATAAAGTTGGACTTTCAATATTGGACTCAATCAGGTAAAAGTTATGAAGTGGATTTTATGGTCCGTGTTTTGTCTAGTTGGACTATAAACTTTTCCTCGGTGCAGCGGGAAACGCTATTAAATTGAGTTGTTTTACGTTATCATGGAAGAGTTTTATTTTTCGAGATAAAGCAGAAATATAAATGAGGATAAAGGAGGTTTTTATGAGCATCAGTTTGTAGGTTATTTGTTTTAATGTTGGTACTTCTGTTTATCTCTCTTTGTGGTTCGATTTAATAGTGTCAATGCAGGAGTTTTTATGTAGATGTTGATAAAACAGTCCGCTTGTATAACTCTGGCACAATATTATAAGAATAGGGATAGCATCGAGCGTTGTGCAATCCCTTAGTATTTTTTGTTTTTTTTTTGGCATAGTTTTCATTTAACCTCATTTAGGTACTTTATGCAAAATTAACATAAGAAGAAGAAAATGTATTTGTATAAAAATAATAATTAAATTTATATCATACTTATATTATAAAGAGGCAAAATTTGTAAGTTTGTATGTTTGTAAGTTTGCATGGAGGGGATAATCCCGGGAGTAGCTAGTAAGAACTATGATAAAAGCGGAATGCGCGAACTTACCTCCACTATGACCAAATCTGGCTTTCTCTAAATGTTCTCTTCTCTTTCGTGCCGGTAATTAGAAACGTTTTTCATGGAACACAAAAACACCAACACATGTCCAAATACTTGATATATGCGTATATATATTATATTGTATGTGATATTGCCATTTAATTTAATCTTGACATATTAATTAAAATACTTTAGTAAGTTACGACAAGTATCATATAGTATATAAACAAGGAGTTCATAATAAGCAGCATACGTGAATGTAACAGCATGAATGGCGTGAAGGCTGTTAAATCCAGTCCACGTGTTAAGTCTTTTTTTTTTGTCAGGGGAAAATCATCCTATGACTTCTCCCGTCCAGGGTAAGGCGAGAGAGAGAGTGTCAGACTCTTACTGACTAAAAACCCCCCCGTTCCTTCTCCTGCTCTGGGCCCAGGTCTCATTGCGCTTACCCCGCAGCCCCGGCTA